TTTATCAAAATTTAATAGAATAATTTTAAATTTATCACTTTTATATAAATAGTTTTATAAAAATTATTATGTTTGTTAATTATAACTTATTTTAATATAATAACATAATTTTAAAATAACTTAAGGATTTTAAAGTAAGTTTATAATTTTAGTTTGTAGTTATTTAATTGCAAATTATTATTTTTTATTAATTACGATCATTTCTTATCAACATTGCAGAATAATTTCCAAAGATAATTTTTAGTTTTTGTAACAGTCTTTATTTTGTTAAACTCAGTTTCATAGCATTAAAAGAATTCCACCTTGTTTTGAACTCTAAACTTATATTGTGATTTGCTCAAATTATGAATTCCTAATAAAGATTTATAAATTACTTATGTCTAATATTCCTTTGATTTTTAACCAGTAAGCTATCAATGATTTTAATCTCAGTTTACATTTTTAATTTGTAGTTATACAGTTTAATTTGTGTGCATTATAATTTTTTTCAGTTGGCTTGAATAATCATTATGGTGTCATCGTTATTATGTTAGGAGGGAGCACTTGCCCTCTCAATAATCTTTTAATATTGCACTTTAATTTCGTAAGATATTGCCTTTAAAATTTCGAAAATTTTTATTTCATAATATTTTTTGTAAATGAAAATTTATTAATCTTTATTAAATAAAGATTTCTCTTTCTTAAAATAAAAATTCACAATTTTAGAGCTTTTTTTCAATAATTTAACAAAATGATTCTGCATTTATCACTTTCATTGAAATGGTGTTTTAAAAATGATTAATGTTTTCCAGAAATTAAGAAAACCACACTATATAATTGCAAAGTTAAATCTGCATTTGAATTTAGTGGAAAATGTACCTTAATTTTTTTTTGTCTTTTAAATATATCTAAGTCATTCATTTACCAAAATATTAAAATAAAATTGTATCTCGAATTTTTAAATTGTTATTTTACTTAAAAATTGATACAATAAAGAAAATTTAAAAATATTCAAAGTACTTATTTGCATAATTTTTTTCACTTCTTCTTTCACTGAAATTAAATTGCAAAATACTTACATACTTTATCCTTTTAGAATCTGAAATTTTATTTACAAAACACTTGAAACAAAAAACCAAAGGCACCTATAGAATTATTTTCCGGGAGTGAAACAAAATAATTCTTTATGAACTTTAATTAAAAAATTTTGCTGATAATTTTTCGTATGTAAAAATAATTTTACATCGACAAATCATAAATTTTTAACGATTCAATAATTAGTTAAATTTAATGTGCACTTTTATTTACTTAAAATTTAGGAATCATTTAAATCTCAAAACCAAAAAAAAGGAGTAAATATTGTATTTTATGAGAATTAAATTTGCACACACATTTCATTGCATACAAGAATGAGATGAAAAAATATATGTTCTTACTATAAGTTGCCTTTTGTATTAATTATCAAAATTTGACTACCATTAGTTGCTTTTTGAAAACCCTTGCTAACACAAAATACTTGTTTAAAATCAATCCATCCCATTGTTTGTATTTCGCTGAAAAGAGATTATTCATTCATAGTAAGAACAAACATGACATTATAGGTAAACATCTTGAATGGGACTATTTAAAAGAAGAAGATGCAACCACACATTTTTTTACAAAGAAAATACAGGACATTTCAGATGAAAGTTCTTTTCTAAATTGATTAGGAATTTTTATCATAATGCAAATGTTATTTAACTCTAAGTCGAAGAACTTTTTACGATTATAATTATTTTACAATTATATTATTTTAAACATGATAAATATAAAAAAAGCATAAACTTTTTGTCTCAGATTTCAAATGAATAATCATGTGAAAATTTCCAAAATTAAAATAAACACAATGTTGATAAGAAAAATTCTCACGAGTTTGAGATATACTTTAAAATCAGCGTTAAAGGAAAATTACTTCTGATATCATATCGAAAGAGTAAAAATAACCAAATTTTAAATATATTCAACTGTTCTCATGACACTTAAGCACCAACTATTAAAAAAAAATTCACTACAGTAATTAAAACAAAAAATCTCTAATAAACATAACTATTTCACAGCATAAAAATTTTATTTAAATACAAAACACACTTTAAAATAAATTTCATCCAATTGCACATTACCTTCATTGTTTAAAATGAACGTTGATAACCTTTTGTTGAAACACAAGTTAAAAATACATAATTGTTATTAAATAAATTAGTTTCCAAGCATCCATAAATCATTTTATAAAAGTCTTTATGAAAATTTTAGCAATAGTTATTAATGGTGTGGCACACAGAACAGGGATGAATTTGAATTTCCATTTGCACAGTAACCATCAGCCTGTCTAAAAATCAAATCAGCTCTGAGATTCTGCATTTGAAAACAGTTTCTTTATAGATTTTCTGGAAGATGAAGATCTATGGCTGAAATTATAAAAAAAGAAACTTAAACTTCACAATGAAAACAACCAAATTTAAAACTATTAAACATTGAATCACTTTCAAATAATTCAATTTTCATTGAATTATTTGAAACTCAAATTATTCAATTTGAAAATTTTTGAAAAAAATTTTAATATCCTTTAGAATGAAATCCATTGGCTTAACTCCAGTATTCAATACCTGAACAAAAAAAAATCTTGTAAGCGCAACACAAGAAGCCCCCCTTCCCCCCCAAAAAGGAGAAGAGCCGTTTGTATGTTTACAGGGGCCCTGGGCCTGTCATTATTTGGGGACCCTTTATGAGAAAATTTAGGGTTACAATACTTTCTGTGCTTTTTGAGAGGCTATATCTTCTATCACATCATCAAAATAAATTTCCTGTAAGACATCTTATTCAATCCATCTTTTCATAATAGACATCTTATTCATAATTGAAAAATGACTCAATTTTTCTTCAGTCATACTCTTTCTTAATAACACATTTTTTATTAATTGAAATCTGGAGAATGAACGTTTGCTTCAACAATTAGTTACTAAGAGTGACAAAAAAATTAGAAAAGAAATGTCATTGTTTGGAAATGCATCTTCAAGATTATTGTTTTTAACTATTTTATACGTGTCATTTATGCCTAATTGTCCTAACTAATTCCTTGCGCCAAAAAATGCTTGAAACGCTTGACTTTTTTTTATCATAAATTTTGAATCTATGTATATGTTATTTTGCAATTTTAAATGTTTTATTGCCAACTTTTTTCTCAATTTTTTTTCTTTATGTTACATTTTGCTTTGCTGCTCAAAATCTTTAAGACTTAAAAACATGAAATTATGAAGGTATGTAAAAAATATGCAAGGAGTTAGAAAGAATATAAGAAAATACAATTTGATTAATTATTAGCTTTTTTTTTTACCCTCATCTTTGAAATACTGACTCAATTTTGAGTTTACGTAGCCTCGTAATTTTAAAACTAATCCAGAAGACAAGGGAACTCCTGGATCAGTACCCAGAGGTATTGAATTGTTATGATAACTTGGTGGAGTTTGTGACCCAAACAGATTCAACATGTACCAGATCCCATTTTATACATAGGTATTATTCAGCCGGCTGAATTCGAATTTCCTTTCTCACGAACACGAGTTCATAGTCCTTGCAACCAAGACATTGTGGCCAAATCAGTAGTCTATTTCATAACCGTCATTAAACAGCCCATCCAATTTCAAATTTACGACTACTAATGTTCAACTCCTTAGCCTTGTAATTGAACCCAATTGTTTCAAGAAGTCAAGAGAACTCCAGGAACAAGTATTGGATGAAATTTTTGCCTATGTAGAGGTCGTTTTGATGGAACTACTCCGCATTTGAGTTACATGGAGAGGTAAAACATGAAAGCCTCCCACGGTTAGTCTGACAGCAAGGGGACTCTAACCCATGATCTATTTATCACTGCAGACAGAACATCAGCATTATGGACAGTGTAAGCTGGATGCATAATTCATATAGACCAGTCATCACTGGGATTCAAACTCGGTGCACCTCATTTGGACGAGAATGCTCTATCCCATGAGTCCATCTTCATTGAGTAATAACTCTGCGGGAGGTGCCAATTTTACTGATTTGCCTAAAATTAGTCCTCTTCAAAATGTAAATGGCAAATCAATCGTAATTTTTGTAGAAAAAAAATTCAAATGGAAATAAATCGTCTGCAATGATTAATAAGAATCAACCACTAGGGTTAATGAGAAAAAGGAACAAGGGGTGGAGTCTTCTAGTTTAAATAATTATTAAATTAGTTCAGAATTTAAAAATAATTATTAAAAACTGTCATCAGCTAGAATAGAACTCACGATCACACAGTTTTGTGTTAGATCTTATAATCATCAGCCCCAAATATACACACCTGCCTTGAGGATATTTAAAATAAAATTTTAATTTAATAAATTAAGACATTTAGATACTTGACATTCTTGATTTTGTAGAAAATTTCCAGATATGTTCTTTATTTTATAACGTTTGTTGTACAGCCGACACAATTCTATGGGTTTACGACTTCTTTTAGACACTTTTTTTCCCTACAATTTTGAAAAGAAAAAAAAAACATTTTTTGAAAATTTGAAGTTTGAAAAAAAAAGGCCTTCTGAAATTTGGAAAAAAAGACATCGGTTTGCATGTGGCAATTCAGTACCTTTTATGAAATGTGGTACTGACCTCACTGAGAAAAGAAAGTATGGTCACAATGAATGGGGGATACTGGTTTGAAGTATCAGTTCTGCTGTTGAGGGTGGATGTGAAACAGACATTCACTCAAAACGAGCATTCAATATATGAATAGAACACCCTAAAGCTTTATATCAATGATTTTAGATAATTACAATTATAGAATAAATAATTTTATTATAGAATGAAAAGTTTTAGAAGACAAATATTTGTTAATGATTAATATTTAATCAAAGAAAAAACATAACCCATATTGAAATCTAACGAACAGCCCCTTTTGATATCATTTTTGTTTCGTTCTTACTTAATATTAATTTGCTTGCAACAATTATTTTTTTACTGCATTTTTGTGAGAAGTTTAAAAATATGATATTAAATTAATTTGTATGCTTCTTTTACTTATGTCATACACACACCCACAAGCAGTCTGCTCTAAATATTGTGTTATTATAAAATGAGATAGCAAAATAAAACTTGTGGAGTTATTTAAATTCATGTTCAATTTCAGTAATTTCGGATGTATTTTAAACAGTAGCTATCACATGAAAGTATTAAATATAAGGCAAATAAAAAAGAATTTTGATCCTTGGGAACCGATATTATAAAGTCTTATGATCGAATGATGGGGCATAATTACCTTTTAGCTTCTTTATACTACTGATCATGTTTTCATTTTCCCATTTCAGATGATTAAGACAACACATAAACAACTTTGGACGTGTTTGTATTCCTGAGATCTTGAGGGCCTCAATTTTGAGTTTAAATCCGTTGCCGAATTCATAGTTCGTAATGTCACAAAAAGTTTAATCGGTTCAGTTGTTTTGGAATCAAAGCAAATTTGGGTGCTTCAGAAAAATGAGAGTCAACTATACTCACTAAAAAATTTAAACCGATTTTGTTTTTGAATAGTTTAGAAAGTCGCTTGATTTTAATATATTGATGAAACTTATTAGTTGAAAAAGTTTGGTGTTCTCTATTATAAATATGAAATTTTTCTTCAAACACGCAAATGCTAACAACAAATGATGGTCGCGACCTCTTTAAGACATTTTTTTTATCGTAATTTCATCTCTTTCTGGAGAAAAGCTTGGTCAGCAGACTAGTGATGGGAAATAACAGGTATTTTCAAATAACAGGTTCCAGCTGTTCCCATGCAAAAAAATACCTGTTCCAAAGTAGCAGGTCTAAGGAAAAAATTTGAACTTTATTGCATTTGAAAGATAATTTAATTGTTGTTGCTGTAGTTAATTTACGTTGCACTAAAGTTGTACAATGGGCCATTGGCGATGGTTTGAGAAACATCCCTGAAAATGATCCGAAGACAAGCCATTACAATTTTGATCCTCTGCAGAGGGGATGGCACCCCTGCTTCGGTAGCCCAACGAACTGCACGCGAAGTCGAGCACTTTACAGTAGAACAGTTTAATAAGGACCAATACCGCACACCCTAGTTCCCTACGCACACTGATTCAAGTGGTCACAGTTATTTTTTAAACAAAAAGAAAGTAGTTACACATAAATTTCTCTTTTTTTCTCAATTGTTTAGGCTCGGCGAAAAAATTATATTTCGTCCTTTTTTATGTATATATATATATATATATATTTTTTGTGATTATACTTTAGATCAGGTAGTTTGGTTGAAAACACTTGAAAAGCATTTTCGTTAGTGTAATCGAATATAATGGACAATAATAGATACAATAATTTTTGTTACAAAATATAGTGCATTATATTAACAAAATATAATTAACAGGAAAGTCAACTACTACTTGCGAACAATAATGTCAAAAATGATCACGATTCTCATAATATTTACTGTCTTTATTAGATACTTGATTTTTAACTGAAGCAAAAACATTACTTTCAATACTTCTTTAATGTTTCATGTAATTATCTTCGAAATTTACATAGTTTACTAGTAATTACAAATTTATAAATACCTTAAGTAGTTGATAAGAAAGCTGCCAAGCTCGAACTATATGACGTTGTAAACAATCGTGAAGAAGTTACAATTCCACAGTTGAAAAAGTTTTTGGAGTTCTGTCATTCGGGAACAGAATTTACTTCCACAAATATTTTCTTGCGTTTTCTGGCACAAAATATTGCATTCAGTGGCGGATCAAGACCCTTTCCCTCTAGCCCAAAAAAATTGGAAGAAAATAAATTTTTTTTAATAGATTACAAAAGAAATAAAATATCGTAAAAATTATTTAATGGGGCATTTACGCGATTTTTTTCCATGATCATTTGAAAAACCGATTTTTTTCCATCTAGTTATGTTCTACACTGTTTCAAGAATCATAATCCAAAAGATTAATGCCATAGTTTCACTGTTCGTCATAGTTTCATTGGAAACATTAATAATGTTGAAGCACGCTTCAATAGGTTCTGATACATAAATAATTCAAAATTTTTAATACTTGAATTATTTATGAATTGCTCTATTGTTCATTTTTAAACACGAGAGAATACACGGGATCCTGAACACAAATCCATTTGAGGGCCCCTTTAAAAAGTTGACAAGTTTTAAGTAAGAAGCATGGTCTTTAATTAAAATATCAAAAGATGATTTTTCAGATAATAGAAATTGCAAGCGGTCTGAAATCTTATATAAAAGCACATCTTACAGAAATTAAAAATTTTATTTAGTTAAAAGATCACTTAAATTTATCTATTGGAGTTTCGCATTGATCATGTAAAAGATCCCTTTTTTCATGCGTGTTCTGCCCCGAATGTCCCCTCGTGAATCAGTTCCCAATAGTAAGGAAAAGTATCTGAAATGATTGTAAAATTTACATTATTAACTCTGATTTTCTTTTCAATACATGCAGCGACTTTAAGATATTAAATAGTATGTTAATTTTAAAGAATGGGTTTTAAGTTATAAAATTTATTAGAAAATGGTTTACTGCGTAGCAATTTCAAATTCTGGTTATTTCTTTTAATTAAGGCACGTTACCAAGCAGATCACTCAAGTCAAGCGTCACTGGCTACGGTCATCCTGCGAAAGGACCAAGGTTGTGCGGTATTGATCCTCGTTAATTTTGCCCATTCTCAGTTAGTGTGATTTTTTCAGGAATCTGAAATACGAGTTTTTTATGGGTGAACAATTTGCACCAATTCTGTTCTCCTTTCTCATGCTGATTCTGTGTTATGCAAAATAATTGCACCCAGAGTGAATAATAAAGACGAACTGATCTAGCCTGCAATTCGTATGAGCGATCGTAGAACATTGCCATCAGTGCAAGCTTCAGTAGTTTTTCATAGCTTCTGATCCTTTGATAAATTAGAGAGACATTCAAGAAGAGGAGCAAGTGATTGGGAAGTTTTTTCGCTGTATATGTTTCATCAATCAGTTCGGATTTCAATATGTCATTGACGATCAGAGGTGCGTTAATCACACATAGCGAGAATGACTCGGTAAGAATTGTACCCTGACGAATGAATAAGAACATGCGATCTCAGCCAAGATTAAGTTATTAAAATATGGCAACACTTCTGACATTCTCAAAAGTTTTGTTTTCATTTTTATTTGCTACTCAGGGACTAATGGGGCACGGGCGCGTGACGTCACGATCTTTGTTTACAATCAATTGGGTGGCGAGCACTCTAATGTAAGTCTATGGGATTTTGATGTCATTTTGTAATAAAGTAGCAAATTTTATATTTTCCTTAAATTTTTGAAGTATAAAAGGTCGATTTTCGTGTAGAATAGAGTTCTAATAAACTGTATAGTAAGTTTTGGCTAAATTGTGACAGTCTTTAAAGGAAAAAAATTCAAATATTTATGGGTGGNGAAAAGAAACTGTGGTGCATTATAAGACTTTTTAAAATTATTATTCAAATGTAATCTCATTAATTTTGAGTCAAACAGATTTTTTTTTAAAAAAGAATAAAAGGATTAATAACTTTAGATTAGACGTTTGCAAAACGTGTGTTTTATCTTCAGGAACTGACACCGTGAGTACGTTATTCAAGAACTAATATTTTGTACACGTTATTTAAGAACAAGAAATCGGAACCGGTTACTTAATAACTGATATATCTTAACCGATAAGTTCTAAGGAGTAGTCAGGGAATTTGAGCCAATGAGAAGGAAGAGGCGTAAACGTCATGATCCGAGGAAAACTGGTTCCCTCCGCCAGAAACGTTATCTTCCTTCCTCGGCGACTCTTCGCCAACTTGCCGTAGTTGTAGTTATGATAATATCCCCGAAATGAGCGCGCCATTTTCTGTTCTGTAGACGTCTGTAAGAAGGACAGGGAGGAGGCGTTACTCATTATGATTAGTATACTGCGCATGCTTGAAAACATGCCTGGAAGGGTCATCCTGTTTCCTGAGGATTCACAGGCATCCTCACGCTATACACTACCAAATTTAAATTAATCACTATCTTAACTCAATGGTTCCTAAAGTTTTTCGTTTATGTAATTTACGGCCAGTTTTAATATATAATTAAAGGTATTAAGAGCATTAATTGTTTTATTATTATTAATCTTATGTTTTATCTCTGACGGTTTATTTGCTACAGGCCTAGTTATAAGTGTGTATTTTGTATAACTTATTGGTGCTATAAACGTTGCAAATGGTTATTAGGAAAACTTATTTCTTTATTAGTAATTAAAATTAGATGTGAAAATGCAATTTATAAATTTCCTCTTAATAATTTCCTAAAGGGAAGATTAAGTAAGCTAAGGTTGGATCTAAATATAATCTTATGTTTTAAAAATCATCACTGGTTATAAAAAATATTCACTTCTGGAACCTGTTTAACTCTTCACCAGAACCCTAATGTTTCGTGGAACATCAATTGGGAACTGCTCTCTTAACATATTGTTCAGAATTGTATAATAATATAATGTTATTTTGTATAATTTTATTACAATGGCAAATTCTTTTTGCTTTTTCTTAGCATATAGATTAAAAGCCAAGGTCTATATCTTAAACTAAAATTATGAATTATTTCCTTTCTACAGTTTATATTTTTTTAAATTTCTTGAAAAAAAAAATTTTTCCATCAGGTAAGAAAAGCTTTGTGTGCTGCTTCCTAAAGTTTGAGTGAGAAAAAATTTTACTGGGCTTTTGTATATAAATAAAAGAATTCCAATTTCTCCCATTTAACGATAGATGGTTCATAAAAGTAGCTTATTTGTATCATATGTGTTACATTCAAGGAATTGAATTCATAGGTATTTGTTATGTGATGATGATTATCAGCATTCACACTAAAGACAAAATATCTGGAAATTAGTTTAATTCCATTAACTGAAATTTTTAATGAATATAATTGCTAATTTATGCTTTTCTTATCTATTTTGAAATGTTTGGATATGAAATAAACATTAAATAATTAGATTTTCAATAAAATATTAAATTTGCTTTATATATAAATAAGTTTTTTTGCCATAAAGTGAGTTGTGAAAAAGTTTATATAAGCAACCCTGGAAAATGATTTGCTTGGCATTAAAAAAATTATGAAGATAAAAAACTCGAAACAACAGCTTCCATGCATCAAAGATGAATTTATATTTTTTTACGATTCAATAATTTAAAAAGACAAAAAATTATTACCCTTTTGCTCCCAGGTGCATTTTTTTCGTTTCGAATTCTCAGTATTTTGTGTATACATTCTCATTACAAAAATAAATTTGATGAAAACCATTAAGTGTCATCCTTGTAAACAAGCAATTGCTAGACACAATAATAATAAAATGTTCCTTTATTAAAAACTTAAGAAATTTAAGCAAAAAAAAAAAAAAGGAAAAAATACCCAAAGAGGAAGAAAAATCTACAACACACACTAAAACGAACAAACACACACTAAAAGTATATATAAAATATGGCCAATGCCAACATTTGCTACATGCAGAGATATTAAAGATGATACAATATTATTAGAAGAAGGAGTGCACAAC